GAAATATACTCTTGGGACAGCGGAAACCAGTTGACGTATCCGGTGAAGGTCATCGACATCGGCTACAACACTCCGGAGGAAGAGCGAAGCAGCGGACCCGAAGCCGCCCCTCACTTCATGGATTACGGCCAAGACTACGAGGCCAACCCCGCCGCCAGCTAGCACAGGACCTAGTTCCCTCTGACCTACGGTGTCCTGGCCTGCGTACAGTCCGGAGTGTCATCTGACCTACTGTGTCCTGGCCTGCGTACAGTCCGGAGTGTCATCTGACCTACGGTGTCCTGGCCTGCGTACAGTCCGGAGTGTCATCTGACCTACGGTGTCCTGGCCTGCGTACAGTCCGGAGTGTCATCTGACCTACGGTGTCCTGGCCTGTGTACAGTCCGGAGTGTCATCTGACCTACGGTGTTCTGGCCTGCGTACAGTCCGGAGTGTCATCTGACCTACGGTGTCCTGGCCTGTGTACAGTCCGGAGTGTCATCTGACCTACGGTGTCCTGGCCTGTGTACAGTCCGGAGTGTCATCTGACCTACGGTGTCCTGGCCTGCGTACAGTCCGGAGTGTCATCTGACCTACGGTGTCCTGGCCTACGCACAGTCCGGAGTGTCATCTGACCTACGGTGTCCTGGCCTGTGTACAGTCCGGAGTGTCATCTGACCTACGGTGTCCTGGCCTGCGTATAGTCCGGAGTGTCATCTGACCCTCGACGTCCTGGCCTACGTATAGTCCAGAGAGTCTGCCCCGGACGTAACTGCCTGGGATCATCCCCTGTACCAAGGGCCAGTACTCGTCAAGCATTTATGCAACCTCTTACGAAACCTGTGCATCTGTCCTTAATCATGCCGGATTTGATTACTTTTATTAAACCGTTTATGAGTTGTTAAATTTCACAACCCAAGGTTGTTATTGTTATTAACGACGTCGTAGTGCTTTGAACACATAAGCTGTTCTATACATGTAAACAAAGCCGCAATGATTCAGGAAAGATGAATAGGTTTTGTAAGTGGTTGCGTAACTACTCGAATCGCAAGCCAGGAGTCACAGGGCATTTACGTGTTCACTTACGAGGTCGGAACTTCTGATCTCGATCACAGCGGCTTAGTTTACGTTAACTGTTATGTGAACTTATTTTTGTAAACAGCTTACGAGGTGATCTAAGGCCACAGTTCTTGGGCTCCACCTCTCACCGTCATCCCCCCCAGGACATCTGCCACACGGGCAGATATAGAGATATATCTATCTCTATCAGCAAAGCATATCTACATTAACTTTTGTATTTACTGGAGTTTGACATTTGTTTGACTTCAGGTGTATGAGTCGTATAGAATTGAGGTGTATGCATGAGCTGTACAGATCACTTGAGGTGTATAGATCAACCGTAACAAGCGTCAGATATAAGTGCTTGTGCCAAACTCGGACCGTACCAACCCACCCAACCCTCCTAACCCATTGAGGTCCAGCAGTCCGATAGAGCGTCAATGTTGCATTGGTTTGTTTTTCAATAAAGCACTGTAATTTTGACGGTGTGGTCGATAGTATCACAATTGCTGTGTATTGCCATGACAGGTTGTTGAAGGGTCGTGTGTCATTACGAAACCTCTACATCTTTCCGCAGTCACAGCAGCTGTGATTACATTAACAGGTTGTTAGGACCTTCGAGGTTGTTTACAACAATAACTGTGAAGTTTACAAGCTCGTAAACTGTTTAATAAATGTAAACAAAGCCGCCATGGTTGTTGAATGATGTACAGGTTTCGTTACTGGTTAACAAAACAACCCGAGAATATACTGTAATGAATGTGATTATTATTTGATGGAAGATGTTCAGTTGATGATGATATTGACACTGACATGACAGCTAATGCTGAGTGATTGACATGACAGCTTATGATGAGTGACACTGACATGACGGCTTATGATGAGTGACACTGACATGACAGCTTATGATGAGTGACACTGACATGACGGCTTATGATGAGTGACACTCACATGACGGCTTATGATGAGTGACACTGACATGACAGCTTATGCTGAGTGACACTGACATGACAGCTTATGCTGAGTGGCACTGACATGACAGCTGACAGTGTATTATCCAGTGTAGGATAATACACTGTGGGGACCCCCAGGGTGATATACTGACCCCAGGGTGATATACTGACCCCAGGGTGATATACTGACCTCCAGGGTGTAAGTGAATGAGTAAGTATGGTGTCCTTAAGTGGGATGTGATAGATATTTCCAGCAACTTGCATAGTGATGGGCAGAGTATATGGCTCCTTGCAGTGGACCGGTGGACCAGTGGACCAGTGAACCTGTGGACCTGTGGACCGGTGGACCTGAGGGCTGCTGCTGTAACACCAGGGTCAGGCCTCCAGGGTTACAACCTTAGGGGTTTCTGTCACAGTTTTGTCAATTAATGCTAATGTAATTTGCAACTATTTGCATATTTTTTTTATAAACAAATAGGGCAACAATCTGAATTTTTATGAAAATGCTAATTTAACTTTGTGAGTTTGTGTTACAAGTAAGAAAACAAATGTATTTGTTTATATATATATATATATATATATATATATATATATATATATATATATAATATATATATATACACTCATACATAAAATCTGAACATGTATAAATATGTACTTGTAAATAGATAACTTAACAGTGTGTTCTTTGTGTTAAAATATAATTGGAGGCAGAACTGTGGAACATATACATACAGGTGTACTGTGTACCGGTGCAGGCAGGTGTCCTGTGTACCGGTACAGGCAGGTGTCCTGTGTACCGGTACAGGCAGGTGTCCTGTGTACCGGTACAGGCAGGTGTCCTGTGTACCGGTACAGGCAGGTGTCCTGTGTACCGGTACAGGCAGGTGTCCTGTGTACTGGTACACACAGGTGTCCTGTGTACCGGTACAGGCAGGTGTCCTGTGTCCCAGTACACACAGGTGTCCTGTGTACCGGTACAGGCAGGTGTCCTGTGTACCGGTACAGGCAGGTGTCCTGTGTACCGGTACAGGCAGGTGTCCCTTGTCCCGGTACACGCAGGTGTCCCTTGTCCCGGTACACGCAGGTGTCCCGGTACAGGCAGGTGCCCCTTGTCCCGGTACAGGCAGGTGCCCCTTGTCCCGGTACAGGCAGGTGCCCCTTGTCCCGGTACAGGCAGGTGCCCCTTGTCCCGGTACAGGCAGGTGTCCTGTGTACCGGTACAGGCAGGTGTCCCTTGTCTCGGTACAGGCAGGTGTCCCTTGTCTCGGTACAGGCAGGTGTCCCGTGTGCCGGTACAGGCAGGTGCCCCGTGTGCCGGTACAGGCAGGTGTCCCGTGTACCGGTACAGGCAGGTGTCCTGTGTACCGGTACAGGCAGGTGTCCCGTGTGCCGGTACAGGCAGGTGTCCCGTGTGCCGGTACAGGCAGGTGCCCTGTGTGCCGGTACAGGCAGGTGTCCTGTGTACCGGTACAGGCAGGTGTCCTGTGTACCGATACAGGCAGGTGTCCTGTGTGCCGGTACAGGCAGGTGTCCTGTGTACCGATACAGGCAGGTGTCCCGTGTACCGGTACAGGCAGGTGTCCCGTGTACCGGTACAGGCAGGTGTCCCGTGTACCGGTACAGGCAGGTGTCCCGTGTACCGGTACACGCAGGTGTCCCTTGTCCCGGTACAGGCAGGTGTCCCGTGTGCCGGTACAGCCAGGTGTCCCGTGTGCCGGTACAGGCAGGTGTCCTGTGTGCCGGTACAGGCAGGTGTATAGGCGTGTTACTTTAGATAGTGCAACACACCTGTGGCAGCTGTCGTAGTCTGTATTTTACTCCAGTCACATGTGGGACTCTTGACACATGTGGGACACTTGACACATGTGTGGCACTTGACACATGTGTGGCACTTGACACATGTGTCATGGATTATAAGTGTAAATATCCAGGCGTGTCTGTACCCGCCTTCCCCCCCCGGGGCGTGTCATAGCCAGCTCACTGAATTGTCCTCAGCTGTGTTGATGTCCTCAGCTGTGTTGATGTCCTCAGCTGTGTTGATGTCCTCAGCTGTGTTGATGTCCTCAGCTGTGTTGATGTCCTCAGCTGTGTTGATGTCCTCAGCTGTGTTGATGTCCTCAGCTATGTTGATGTCCTCAGCTGTGTTGACGTCCTCAGCTGTGTTGACGTCCTCAGCTGTGTTGACGTCCCCAGTTGTGTTGACGTCCTCAGCTGTGTTGACGTCCTCAGCTGTGTTGATGTCCTCAGCTGTGTTGATGTCCTCAGCTGTGTTGATGTCCTCAGCTGTGATGATGTCCTCAGCTGTGTTGACGTCCTCAGCTGTGATGACGTTCTCAGCCACATTGACGTCCTCAGCTATATTGACGTCCTCAGCTATATTGACGTCCTCAGCTATATTGACGTCCTCAGCTATGTTGACGTCCTCAGCTATGTTGACGTCCTCAGCTATGTTGACGTCCTCAGCTATGTTGACGTCCTCAGCTATGTTGACGTCCTCAGCTGTGTTGACGTCCTCAGCTGTGTTGACGTCCTCAGCTATGTTGGCTTCCTCAGCTATGTTGACGTCCTCAGCTATGTTGACGTCCTCAGCTATGTTGACGTCCTCAGCTATGTTGACGTCCTCAGCTGTCTTGACGTCTTCAGCTATGTTGACGTCCTCAGCTATGTTGACGTCCTCAGCTATGTTGACGTCCTCAGCTGTGTTGACGTCTTCAGCTATGTTGACGTCCTCAGCTGTGTTGACGTCCTCAGCTGTGTTGACGTCCTCAGCTATGTTGACGTCCTCAGCTGTGTTGACGTCTTCAGCTATGTTGACGTCTTCAGCTATGTTGACGTCCTCAGCTATGTTGACGTCCTCAGCTATGTTGACGTCCTCAGCTATATTGACGTCCTACGCTGTGTTGACGTCCTCAACTATGTTAACGTCCTCAGCTATGTTGACGTCCTCAGCTGTGTTGACGTCCTCAGCTGTGTTGACGTCCTCAGCTATGTTGACGTCCTCAGCTATGTTGACGTCCTCAGCTATGTTGACGTCCTCAGCTATGTTGACGTCCTCAGCTATGTTGACGTCCTCAGCTATGTTGACGTCCTCAGCTATACTGACGTCCTCAGCCATGTTGACGTCCTCAGCCATGTTGACGTCCTCAGCTATGTTGACGTCCTCTGCAATGTTGACGTCCTCAGCAATGTTGACGTCCTCAGCAATGTTGACGTCCTCAGCAATGTTGACGTCCTCAGCTATGTTGACGTCCTCAGCTATGTTGACGTCCTCAGCTATGTTGACGTCCTCAGCTGTGTTGACGTCCTCAGCTGTGTTGACGTCCTCAGCTATGTTGACGTCCTACGCTGTGTTGACGTCCTCAGCTATACTGGCGTCCTCAGCTATGTTGACGACCTCAGCTATACTGACGTCCTCAGTTCTCTTGACGTCCTCAGCTATGTTGATGTCCTCAGCTATACTGACGTCCTCAGCTATGTTGACGTCCTCAGCTATGTTGACGTCCTCAGCGATGCTGATCTTGTACTGTACTCTGGTAGATAATGTTAACAATGTACTGTACAGTGGTTAAGTGTATACCAAGTCTTTATAATAAAGGAGGAATAGCGAAATACAATGTTTTTGTAACCTACAATGTGGGTACTGTATTTTTTGTTTTGTATTCGAATTTTGCCCCGAGGAGCGAGTTTATTGGGCAGCGCCGCTCATCCTGGGAGTGGACACACCGCCATAGTGACAGTATTGGGCAGCGTCACTCATCCTGTGAGTGGACACACCACCATAGTGACAGTATTGGGCAGCGCCACTCATCCTGTGAGTGGACACACCGCCATAGTGACAGTATTTGGCAGCGCCACTCATCCTGTGAGTGGACACACCGCCATAGTGACAGTATTGGGCAGCGTCACTCATCCTGCGAGTGGACACACCGCCATAGTGACAGTATTGGGCAGCGTCACTCATCCTGTGAGTGGACACACCGCCATAGTGACAGTATTGGGCAGCGCCACTCATCCTGTGAGTGGACACACCACCTTAGTAACAGTATTGGGCAGCGCCACTCATCCTGTGAGTGAACACACCGCCATAGTGACAGTATTGGGCAGCGGCACTCATCCTGTGAGTGGAGACACCACCATAGTGACAGTATTGGGCAGCGCCACTCATCCTGTGAGTGGACACGCCGCCATAGTGACAGTATTGGGCAGCGCCACTCATCCTGTGAGTGGACACGCCGCCATAGTGACAGTATTGGGCAGCGCCACTCAACCTGTGAGTGGACACACCGCCATAGTGACAGTATTGGGCAGCGCCACACATCCTGTGAGTGGACACACCGCCATAGTGACAGTATTGGGCAGCGCCACTCATCCTGTGAGTGGACACACCGCCATAGTGACAGTATTGGGCAGCGCCACTCATCCTGTGAGTGGACACACCGCCATAGTGACAGTATTGGGCAGCGCCACTCATCCTGTGAGTGGACACACCGCCATAGTGACAGTATTGGGCAGCGCCACTCATCCTGTGGGTGGGCACACCGCCATAGTGACTGTATTGGGCAGCGCCACTCATCCTGTGAGTGGACACACCGCCATAGTGACAGTACTGGGCAGCGTCACTCATCCTGTGAGTAGATGGTACTCTATCTGGCCTGTGTGGTGTACCTGGCCTGTGTGGTGTACCTGACCTGTGTGGCGTACCTGACCTGTGTGGTGTACCTGGCCTGTGTGGTGTACCTGGCCTGTGTGGTGTACCTGGCCTGTGTGGTGTACCTGACCTCTGTGGTGTACCTGGCCTGTGTGGTGTACCTGGCCTGAACACTGTGTGGTGTACCTGGCCTGAACACTGTGTGGTGTACCTGGCCTGAATGCTGAGTGGTCTACATGTGGTCTTTACACTAGCGTGATAACATTCACTCGGGCCCGGCTGATATCACTGTTGGCTTATCTCCATGTTGAAATATTAGCTCTCTCCCTCTCTCCCTCTCTCCCTCTCTCCCTCTTTCCCTCTTTCCCTCCCCCTTCCTCTCTCTCCCTATCCCTCCCTTCACCTTCCCCTCTCCATCACTCCCTCATTCTTGCTCTTTCTTTCTCCCCTCTCTCAACCTTTCTCTCTCAGTCTCTTCACCTTTCCCCTCTCCCTCTCTCCCCATCCTTCCCTCCACCTTCCCCTCTCCCTCCCTCTCTCAACCTGTTTCTCTCTCACTCTCCCTACCTCCTCCTCTCCTCCAGGACCTTTCAGTGAGGTACAAATTACGGAAAGTGAACAGAAGTGTTCATGAACGCCTGTACGGGGGCCTCGTAGCCTGGTGGATAGCGCGCAGGACTCGTAATTCTGTGGCGCGGGTTCGATTCCCGCACGAGGCGGAAACAAATGGGCAAAGTTTCTTTCACCCTGAATGGCCCTGTTACCTAGCAGTAAATAGGTACCTGGGAGTTAGTCAGCTGTCACGGGCTGCTTCCTGGGGTGTGTGTGTGTGTGTGTGTGGTGTGGGAAAAAAAAAAAAAGTAGTTAGTAAACAGTTGATTGACAGTTGAGAGGCGGGCCGAAAGAGCAAAGCTCAACCCCCGCAAAAACACAACTAGTAAACACAAGACCTGAACGTCTTAATGACTGAGCCCACAAGTGGTGAACAATATTTTGGTGAACAATGTCGGCAGCGTCTGTTAATGGTGAAGAACATTCTGGTGAACACTGCAGACTATCTCTGTTGACTGTTGATCTTTTTTTTTTTTTTTTTATTAAGTTATGAGGTACATGTGCATTAGTGCAGCTGCCGTAGACTATATGAAGTGGAGTACAGTGTGTCAAAAAAAGCTAACTAGGTGATGCTAAAAAATCCCCATCACACAGGATGGTTAGTCATACAGAGGCATGTGATAAGCGGTCTGCACTGGCAGACTCCGGATGCATTTTGAGGATCAAAATGCATCCGGAGTCTGCCAGTGCAGACCGCTTATCACATGCCTCTGTATGACTAACCATCCTGTGTGATGGGGATTTTTTAGCATCACCTCTGGCCGCTGTTGGCGATAAAGTCTGCGGGAATGTAAACCCAGATTTAACTTACTTATCTCAAGCAGCAACAGCGCGCCACTATACTGCCAATGGCCAGTATTTATGCAACCTCTTAACGAAACCTGTACATCTTTCTTCAATCATGGCAACTCAGTAAACATTGATTAAACATTTGTTCATGTTTGGAGCTTCACAATCTAAGGTTGTTATTGTTATAAACTTCTTCTTTAAGTGCTTCGGAACTCCAAAGACTGAATATATGTAAATAAAGCCGCAATGGGTGTTGAAAGATGCAGAGGTTTCGTAAGAGGTTGCAAAGAGACGAAAAACCCGGCTATAAGGACTCACGCACGGTCGTATTAGGGGTAACATAAAGATTTATGTTACTGAACTTATTAAGTTGTTAATAACTTTATTACAACACCGAGTCACCGCAGGTGTCACTCCGGTACACAGGTGTCACTCCCCGGTACATAAGTGTCACTCCCCGGTACACAGGTGTCACTCCCCGGTACACAGGTGACACTCCCCGGTACACAGGTGTCACTCCCCGGTACACAGGTGACACTCCCCGGTACACAGGTGTCACTCCGGTACACAGGTGTCACTCCCCGGTACACAGGTGTCACTCCCCGGTACACAGGTGTCACTCCCCGGTAGACAGGTGTCACTCCCCGGTACACAGGTGTCACTCCCCGGTACACAGGTGTCACTCCCCGGTACACAGGTGTCACTCCCCGGTACACAGGTGTCACTCCCCGGTACACAGGTGTCACTCCCCGGTACACAGGTGTCACTCCCCGGTACACAGGTGACACTCCCCGGTACACAGGTGACACTCCTTCGGTAGACAGGTGTCACTCCCCGGTACACAGGTGTCACTCCCCGGTACACAGGTCTCAGTCCCCGGTACACAGGTGTCACTCCCCGGTACACAGGTGTCACTCCCCGGTACACAGGTGTCACTCCCCGGTACACAGGTGTCACTCCCCGGTACACAGGTGTCACTCCCCGGTACACAGGTGTCACTCCCCGGTACACAGGTGTCACTCCCCGGTACACAGGTGTCACTCCCCGGTACACAGGTGTCACTCCCCGGTACACAGGTGACACTCCCCGGTACACAGGTGACACTCCTTCGGTAGACAGGTGTCACTCCCCGGTACACAGGTGTCACTCCCCGGTACACAGGTCTCAGTCCCCGGTACACAGGTGTCACTCACCGGTACACAGGTGACACTCCCAGGTACACAGGTGTCACTCCCCGTACGCAGGTGTCACTCCCCGTACACAGGTGTCACTCCCAGGTACACAGGTGTCACTCCCTGGTACACAGGTGTCACTCCCCGGTACACAGGTGTCACTCCCCGGTACACAGGTGTCACTCCCCGGTACACAGGTGTCACTCCCCGGTACACAGGTGTCACTCACCGGTACACAGGTGACACTCCCCGGTACACAGGTGTCACTCCGGTACACAGGTGACACTCCCCGGTACACAGGTGTCACTCCCCGGTACACAGGTGTCACTCCCCGGTACACAGGTGTCACTCCCCGGTACACAGGTGTCACTCGCCGGTACACAGGTGACACTCCCCGGTACACAGGTGTCACTCCGGTACACAGGTGTCACTCCCCGGTACACAGGTGTCACTCCCCGGTACACAGGTGTCACTCCCCGGTACACAGGTGTCACTCCCCGGTACACAGGTGTCACTCCCCGTACGCAGGTGTCACTCCCCGTACACAGGTGTCACTCCCAGGTACACAGGTGTCACTCACCGGTACACAGGTGTCACTCCCCGTACACAGGTGTCACTCCCAGGTACACAGGTGTCACTCACCGGTACACAGGTGTCACTCCCCGTACACAGGTGTCACTCCCAGGTACACAGGTGTCACTCACCGGTACACAGGTGTCACTCCCCGTACACAGGTGTCACTCCCAGGTACACAGGTGTCACTCACCGGTACACAGGTGTCACTCCCCGTACACAGGTGTCACTCCCAGGTACACAGGTGTCACTCACCGGTACACAGGTGTCACTCCCCGTACACAGGTGTCACTCCCAGGTACACAGGTGTCACTCACCGGTACACAGGTGTCACTCCCCGTACACAGGTGTCACTCCCAGGTACACAGGTGTCACTCACCGGTACACAGGTGTCACTCCCCGTACACAGGTGTCACTCCCAGGTACACAGGTGTCACTCACCGGTACACAGGTGTCACTCCCCGTACACAGGTGTCACTCCCAGGTACACAGGTGTCACTCACCGGTACACAGGTGTCACTCCCCGTACACAGGTGTCACTCCCCGGTACACAGGTGACACTCCCCGGTACACAGGTGTCACTCACCGGCCGCCCTCACCTAACAGGCAATTGCCAGCATGCCACCAATCCCAGCACCTACTTCAAACACCGTTATTGCAACGCGGATGTAACCAGTCCACTGAGAGACATGCTGTTTTAATTGCAAGTTGATTCTGAACATATTGCATGTTCTCA